AAAGCGTTATTTGAGTATAACTTCAAAGTCTTGTATAATAGGATTACGCGTAATGATTTCTGTTACTTTAGCATTTTCAAAGCAGAGAAAATGTCATCAAAATCTAGGTTATGGGAACCGCTTCATTGAAGACAAAATGGAGGGAGAACAACCACTAAGCGAAAATGTCTCCTTGGGAATCTACTGGTGAACTTGAATTTGTGTTTCAAATTTCAAGATAAGTAGAGAGAGTTTAAAAAGAATATAACTATTTTTTAATTGTATGGTTTATAATTAGACGATCATACTTTATGTATTTTGGAAATGGTGCCAAAAATGGGTGTCCCAATCTAAGGAACTAGGCTGCCTTATCATTAGAGAGTGCGTGTGAACTGTGAAAGCATTCATCCATCCGGACCTCCTCCTGTTTGTGAAAAAGACAGTGAAACTTGTCTTAGACGGCTATTATTTTCCATTCCATTTCTTCATGTATTATGTGCTCTAACAGGATACGAGTGGGCTGCCGACATTAATGACTTCACAGTTGCGTGCACTGAATTTCAAAGAGTGTTTGGATTCTCTTCTCCCATCATTAGGGCTTAAACTTAACGTATCTAAAAGTTACATGAGACAAGACCCATTAATCATTAGAGTTTCAGAAGCTATTTGTCTTTGATTCCACATTAAAAGAAAGATAGGTAAAATCTATCAAAGGGTTTTAAATTTACATAAATTTTTTTTAATATTAATGTTGATAGCCTGTCTTTGAAAAAACTGATGTTACTCTTGAGAAAGAAGATAAACGAAATGGGTTTAATTGGAGAGGCTATCAAAGGTTGCTTCTGTTTTTTTTTTTTTTTTTTTTTTTTTTTTTTGGGGTGCTGTTTAAGGACCAATGTAATGTAATGTTACATGATTAAAGACAAAAAAGGATTTGGGACAGGACCATCAAAAAGACAAAAGATTGGGACAGAAATGGAATAATTTAAAGTCTACCTAGTGGGCTGCGGCCCATCAAAGTTAATGGGCTTATTTGAAAGAGTTATGGATCATTTCTCTTTTCTTTTCTTACATTTCTTGCAGATATATAGAGCTGGTGATTAGAAACTTAGAAGGAAAGGAAGACTAACACAAAAACAAAAAGAGAACAATGTCTGATGCGCATTTTTGGCTTTCAGATGGTAAGATCCCGTAAGGGTTTGGATTACTACCATGAAAGAATCAGAATATTGCTAGGTTGAAAAACTCTCTTCTGTTGGGATATGGGGCTGGCAGAAGCTTGTGAATAAAATTTGAGTTTTTTTTTTTTAGTATTTATGGTTCGGGTGATCGGGTTAGTTTTTGTGAATAAAATTTAGTATGTATACTTGAGACGCCTTATTAGGTTGAGGTTTCTTGATCATGCACTCTTAGGCTAATTGCCTAATTAGTTAGATGCCATAGGCCCTTGCTCTACCACAACCAATGAGATTTGATTTTCCATTCAAAAGTCCTAAGACTTAACTCATGGATTTCTACTGGAGCTTGCGATTAAAATGCAATTATTCATTTGGTTTAGGCATTGTATTGAATTCAAAAGACTAGTCTATTAAATTTATATATTCTCACTTTTTTTTTTTTTTTTTGATGAATCATGTGTTTCCACATATATTGCCTGATTATCGTTATATCTCTTAACATGGGACTTTTTAGTCTCACCTTATGAACCCAACATTGTCCCTAAATGTCAAACATGTCTATTTAATCATTCAAACAAATTCAGTTATATAAGTAGATCCATACTAACATAATATAGGGTGTATTAACTCATAATTTTGTCAATTATCTAAGTAATCAATGATGATTCATTATTTTGGAAGTTAAAAATTTTGAATTTGAGTCAAATATATCATACAAATATATATCATGTAGATGAGGATGGCTAAAACAAAAAAAAAAAAAAAAGGGAAACCACTCTCTATTGTAAGAATGCTTATATAATAAATGTAAATAAATTTCAACCATTGAAAGTATAGTGATGAATTGTTAAGATATTGTATAAATGTGGTGTATAAAACTTTTGTTTAAATGGATTCATACTCGATATATATCTCATTGAGTTAACACAACCAAAACCCTCATACTTTTGTTTATCCATTGGCCAATAGGGGTGGCAAATTGCCCCGATCTCCACAGGAATCCTAAAGCGAGAAGGAATATTCCTTCTCGTGGGGCAGGGACATGGGGCATTTTCTTCCAACAAAATTCACGAGGAATTTTACCCACCTCAGGGGATCCCTATCCTCACAAAAAATTAACAAAATATATAAATTAATTTTGTTTTAAATTTAATTCAAGCTTCAAATCCAAACCTAATCCAATAAAAATTAAATTTAATCCAATTTTACTTAACTCAACCCAACTCATAAAAATTAACCCAATCCATTATTAACCATTTAACCCTAACTTTACTCATTTCTCATCACTCTCACCTTCCCCTCCCCTTTTGCCGTCAGCACTCTTTTCTAAGAACTCTCAACCTCAGCTCCGGAACCACCTCCCCCCCTCCTTCTCATGTTCATAAGAAGTCATTGAAATCAAAACAAAAAAACCCCCAAATTTCCCCTTCGGTTTCTTTCCCAACAGAATCAGATGCAAAATGTGGGGAAGGAGAAATTGGGGATGGTGGAATACTGAATACGTGAAGAGAAGATGGAGAAAGAGAAGACTGGTAGATGAAGGCACAGAATTGGTGAGATGATGCAAGAAATGCGTTTAGATTTTCGATTTTCTCAATAATAAATAATAATAATAATAATAATAATTTCTCTTTTATTAATTGGGTATTTACTAATTGTATTATAGGTTTGTTGATGAGCAAATGTGGATTTTGAGAGTTAAGATGTTTTGAGTTGGCTGCCTCCCTTCATGTTGGAATTGGATGTTATTTAGTTATTTTATTTATATTGGATTGATTTTTGCTTATGTTTAGAACAAGTATGTTGGATTA